AAAAAAAGCGACATTAATTTCTTGATGACTTAATACAAAAAATTAATCTATAAAGAATTTTTAGAAGTCAAAGAATAACCACAAGTATAATTTTTTTTTTAACTGGATTCAGTGATTAATTATTAAACTGTATTTGTAGGAGTATATACATTATACATTTTCTGATTGTTCTTTTCAGTTGAAATGTTAATTTTTTTATTCCAACTACCTGAAAGATGGAAGCTAAGCATAATACTTTTTTTTTTATAAGACATATGTTTGAAAAGTTTCAACGTTTCTAAAGATACTAGAGTCCATTTTATGATATATTCACAGCAGATCAAAAGGAAGAAACTAATACAAAATGTATGAATACTTTAATTATCACAAACACATTAAGTAACTTCCAGTCTACTGATTCTAAAAAAAAGTTTTCTGGCATCAAACCTACATAATGAGACATATATATTGTAAAGGAATGTATACAGCTAGTTCTTCAATTAATATACAAATTCTATTTTTCTTCCATTGCAATATCATTAGATGTGAACCATATGAAAGAGACAAAGTGGCTGTGCCATTTGGTCCCACAAGCACACACACACAAGCCACTCCAGTCAATAATACTACCACAAAAGAGATATCTGTATTTATTATCTATAACCCCAAGGCATTCTTCAGCAGTGCTGCTAGGTTACCATTATCTTCCTCCTCAGTAGCTGAAAAGAAAAGCAAGCAACTATAAAAACTGTACTAATTTAAACAATGCTCGTTTATTAAATGAACTAAATAATATATTATATTAAAAGAGAATTGTATCATGTTTAACATTAGATGGTATCCATATCTTGATCAACTGGGTTTCTAACTAAAACAACTCTTACTGAACCACCTAGACCATTAATATGAAATACCACAAAATGAAATTCTATAGATATAAGCCTTTAAAAGTAGAAAGTCTGTGTGATATACTCTTTTTTGCTTATCCCTCTTTATAGGAGCTTGGTTATTTTGACCAGCATTGGAACCACCATGTAATTATGAAACCATTATATACTATAACTTTTAGTAAACAAATCTTTCATGGACAAAAAAAAAAGAGTATTTCATTAAGTATTTTTATTAAAGATTTTCCTGTCAACTTATGAAGTCAACGTCTGACTCAGACTAGTCTGAATGCAAAGTGAATTTCATGTTAAGATTAAAAATATTTTTTTGCTTGAATAACCACTAAAACCTCCTCATTAAAAATTATTTTTAGTAAAACTTTATATTTTTCTACCCTAACACTACAAGAGCTTTTTCCATTTGATCATGCTTGTAATAACCAAAAAAAAACATACAAAATAAATGTAAATTACCTCTTTTTTCTTTCTAGAATGTTTGTATGATTTATTATTTTGGAAGTGCATCTTTTTTCTTAATTAAGTAAAATTTTTGTTAAATGATTAACTAGCTAAAGTTACTAACATGTGATAAAATTTCCTCTATACCATTTTTTTAAATAGTAACAGCAAACAAATATTTTTCAGACAATCTAGTTTGCACTAATCTAATTTATTTCTTTATGCTATTGGCAAAAATTTTGGTTTGAATAGCCACTATTTACCAACACCTTCTTGTATCTAGGCCTAGCATAATGCTAAGTTATACTTTTAATTTCCAAGTGTTCTAAAATTGGATTCATGGTTAACCATACAAACAATATTTAAACACCAACTCAAAGCAGTAATGAATCATACTGTAAATCAGCCTTTCAGCCACAGTAATTCTATCACTGATTTCCCTGAGAACTTCATGAGTATTTGTAATCTCCATTGATTACCTTCATCTGTTGCTGTGATGTCTCTTTCCAGCTTTAGTTTTTCTTGGGCACAGTTGAGAATTCCTTCTTCAATGGTGCCTTTACTAATCAATCTGATCACATATACCTCTCTGGAAATACACAGAACAGTATTTAATTTGAAACACTTTCTTTACATTCTGCATACTGTAAATTTTACCATTTATTGAAAGTTTTAATTAATTTTATCAGCATTTTTTTTTGAAGTCCTACTGATAACAACTCACTTTTTTCATAAAAGATGTTTCATTTCTGTGCTATAATAATCCTTGTATGATTCTGAACTTTCAAGAAAAACAACAGTAACACTTTACCTCTTTCAAAACACCATTTAAAATAAATCAAATGGAATATTTTTTAGTTTTCATAAAACTTTAAAAAATCCATGTCTATGAAGCAATTTTTTACTTATTAAAAGTAGCATCTGATGATAATCCACAAATGGCAACTTGCACACAATATCATTTACATATTTGAGCTCCCTAAGTGATGTTTGGCTGCTTAATATTTTTTCTACCATCAATACAGTTATATGATCAGAAATGGAAAAAGTTAGAGGATTTCTTTGTATTTCTAATGTCCAGTTTGATGAGATCTAATTCAGTTGTATGATCTAACTCGCACTGATGAAACTGTTTGACTGATCCAATAAAAACCCTTGTCTTCTAGTAAATATAAAAGTTTAAAATGAATTAGGTACATCCTACAAACAAAAAGGTTTAAAAATAAATTACAAGATCAAACATTCTAGTTTTGGAGAAAAAACTCAATACAAACAAAATAATCTGCAAGTTATGTGTAAAATTAGACATGACATAAGTATATACAGATACCTCTTGAGAGTCAAGGGCATCACAGCTTTGCTATGATCCAGCCAATCACCAAACATGAGTTCTATTGAGCATATGTGAGCTATCTGTTAACAATCTCTGCAAAAGCATCCCAGTAAACCCACTTCCCAGGACTCCATTATGCACTAAGAATGGGCCAGAATTAATCTTGTCCACACAAAGTGTAAGTGCGCTGCAGCTATGCAGTTGTTTGAAATTTTTTGACACAAAGCAACTAGGCTGTCTGTGCCAAACAACTGGTAAAAATCTTAAAAAGTAAAATTCTATAAAATGTAAAATGTTTAGCTAAAAACTAAACAATGTCCAAAATTCAGATAAAAGACTAAATTAGAATTAAAAAGACCAATGGCTTGTAAAAATTTGAAAACACAATCAGGTTGGATAGTGTCACCATCACCAATGACACTGTCCAATGTCATGGGTAGACCCGTAGAAAATACATGACTAAAATGCTACTGTCGCTCACGATCGTAATTACGGCATGACAAAGGCCATACGTTGGTGGATCAGTCCCAGATAAAAGAAAACAATGAGTTAAAAAACTGTGACCAATGTGTAGCCTAGCCAGGACAACTTCTTCCTTTCGATCCTTATGAAAACAAAATGGCCAAAGAGCAACAGAGGGTCTGATATGGATAAGCTCGTTATGATGTTGCTCACTCCAAGTTGATTGCTAACTGGCACAAAGCCATGCCTTGATTATGGGGCCGTAGTCCAGGTATGGGACAGGAACAGCTGTGACGGCACCAGAGCAGACAGACTCAGCTGCGATATCAGCAAGTTCTTTCCTGATAGGTATCCAGAAAAACTGGATAATAATGAAAGATAGAAAAATGGGCCAGTCATTGTTGAATATCAATGAAAACAAGGTGAGAACAAACATTAAGCAATTCCAGAGCCAGTAGAGAGCTAAGAGAGTCAGTGTAAATGGTACAATCAGTGTACTGCACAGCTTCTATATGATCCAGGGCAAGAGAAATGGCATACAACTTGGCAGTAAACACAGAAACTTGTGAGCAGCCGCCTAGCCACAACAAACCCTGACAGAGCCCACAGAGTCACCTGATTTCGAACCATCCATAAAAACAGAATAATGGTTTGAAAGATGTTCTGCAAAGAAAGACAAACTTCCAGTCGGGAGTATTCACCTTCCTCAGAAGACTCAAAGAAAGGTTAGAGGTGTGGATAGTAATAAGCCATGGTGGGATGGGCTGACCATTGGTGACAGCAACATCATCCAATGACAGCCCCAATTCAGTCAGCTGTGCCTGGATAGGAAGGCCAAAAGGAAGAATGGCAGACTGTCTATTCTGAAAGATTACAGCCCACTGCAGAAGGAAGACACAACACCAGGTGGAATGCTGTGGTAAGAATTGAAGTTTAGTAGCATACTGCAAAGAAAGTTGCAAATGGCAGAGATTAAGAGGAAGTTCGTGGGACTCAGCATACAGACTCTGGACTGGAGAAGTATGGAAAGCCCTTGTGCAGAGCCATAGGCCCAGATGATGAATGGGGTCCAACATCTTCAAAGCAGAGGCCCTGGCAGAACCAGAGACCCATAATCCAGTTTGGATCAAACGAGGGCACAATAGATATTGGGCAAAGAAAATCGATCCACTCCCCAAGAGGTGGAAGAGAGGACACAGAGGATGTTCAGTGCCCTTGTACACTTGACACGTAGATGCTTGATGAGAGAAATGAAAGTAAGATTATGGTCAAAGATAAGCCCCAAGAACTTTGCCTCAGGAGCCACAGGAAGAACAACATCACCAAGACAGAGCTCAGGATCGGGAGTAAACCCTGTTGGTGGCAAAAGTGCAAGCAAATGGTTTTGAAGAAAGAAAAGGGCAAACTGTTTGCTGTGGTCCATTTCAACAAGCCATTGAGGGCAGTTTGAAGCTGCTGCTCAATAAACCTCATGTTTGACGACCAACAAGAAATGTGGAAGTCGTCGACATGAAGGCCATTTGCAACTATAGGAGGAAATTGTTTAGTGATAGCATTGATCTTGATACTGAAAAGAGTGACACCCAAGACACAGCCCTGAGGGACTCCAAGTTCCTGTGCGAAAGAATGGAAAAGGGTTAAACCCACACAGACTTGGAATTGCCTGTCGTATAAAATATTAAGAATAAAAATGGGTAAATGGCCACGCAACCCATATGAATGGATGCCCTGCAAAATGCTATGCCATAAGCCTTTTCAAGATCAAAGAAGACAGAAATAAGATGTTATCACTTGAGTAAGGCTTACCTGATTGAGGTTTCAGTTAAATCAGGTGATCCACAGTGGAGCACTGTCAACAGAACCCACACGAGGCAAGAGAAGGTTATTTTATTCAAAAAACCAAACAAGATGAGCATTAACCATCCTCTTTTAAAACCTTACAGAGACAGCTAGTCAAAGCAAATGGAGGATAATTAGAAAGAATCTTGGGATCCAGAAAAACGTAGGAAAAGAACCTGGCACCAAGCATCAGGAAAAATGTTCTCCTGCTAGATCTGGTTAAAAACAACCAGAAGAAGAGCAAGAGAGGCAGGAAAGAGATGTACTGCCAGGCCGATTAAGAGCAAGCATGAGATCCACCAGCTGAAGGGTCATAGAGGCGATCATATAGGGGTCATATAGTCATAGAGGCGATCGGTCTGAAAGGAAAGAGGCGATCACTCTACATGAGATTTGATGGCCAAGAAGGTGGGGGAAGAAACAGAAATGCTAGAAATATGAGAAAAGCTCTTGCTGAGAGTATTGGTGATGCTCTGTACATCAGCAACTTCCTGGCCATTGGATAACAGGATGGAAAGGGGATGGAAAGCATACTAACCATTGACATTCTGAATCTTGTCCCATATAACTTTGGAACTGGTGGTAGAAGAGATATTGGTTGTGAACTTAATCCAAAACTCCTTTTGAATTTGACATCTGATCTGCCAAGCATGAGTACGGGCCTACTAGAAAGCAATGAGATTGGGAAGAGTGGGATACTTGCAAAAGGTATCTCAGGCCCATTTCTGAGCCTTCTATAGCTACTGGCAGACTGGAGACCACCATGGATGAGGATACCTGGGAAACATGTCAAGGTTTTGGGTATAGATCAAATAGCTGCTCGATTGATGCAATCAGTTAATACCTCCACGCAGTCATTAATAGGTGGAAGACTAACAACAACAACAGGATGGAGTTTCAAGAGAGAGGCAAAAGAGAGCCAGTCAGCCTGGTCCAACTTCCACTGTGGCACTCAAGTCGGTTGGCATCGACCATGGTCAATGTTTCTCAAAATGACAGGAAAATTATCACTGTCCCATGGGTTACTATCAACCCTCCAAGAAAACCAAGAGAAAAGTGAAGGGGAATAGATAGATAGATAGGTCAATAGCAGTAAAAGAATGACTAAGTGCATGAAATAGATAAAATAATCACTACTGAAGAGAGACAGGTTGTGATCTGAGAGCATACGCTCCACAGAATGATAACTCCCATCAATTTCAGCACCACCCCAAAGGGGATTATGTCTATTAAAGTCTCCCAAGATGAAAAATAGAGACAACAACTGTTCTATAGGAGCATCAAGATCTGACTGATTTTAAGTCTCTCTGGGAGACAGGAAGAGAGATCAAACAGTGATGTTACGACCCATGGAGATATGGATGTCTACAGCCTCCAAAGGTGTATCAAGTGGCACAGACAAGGTGGGTACGTGCGGCTTCATGATTTTTGCCACTACAATGAGCACACATCACACACCCACGAAAAGATGCTTTTGAATGATCAAACCACTGACACTGGAAACATCTGAGGATTAGGAATATAAGTCCATACCTTACAATTAAGATAACCTGCCCTGACAGAGGCAGGTGGACCGTGGAGGTGTTAACATCAGAACATTATTATGCAGCATAATTCCTTTTTTACAAGTGGAGATAGGTCTCACTGCAGAAACTCCTTGGCTGAAGAAACAAGTGAGAATCTCTGACTCAGGGATGTTCTGTAAATCCCTTTTAATGATGACTCCTTGAGAAGAATTTAAAGTTGCATGGGGAGTAAACTCAATAGGTATATCCCCAATGGCCTTTGAATTCAGGAGGAGTTCACTGTTTAGGTGTAGATGTTTCCACCAAGATATCTCTTTACTGACTTTGGAGAGCCAGCAAAACCCTCTAAACACTTCTTAATGAAAAAATGAGACATTTGTCAGTCAAAAAATGAATGATGAGAAAATGAAGTACAGAAACAGTAAGAGG